ATTATTATTATTAAAATTATTATTACTATTACTATTATTATCATTATTATTATTATTATTATTATTACTGCACACCATCGTATGTAGAGGACTTGGTCTACTCCAAACGACACACGCTACATGGCATGCGCGGCTCGTGGCAAATCCAACACAAGAACAAAAAGGACAGAAATATCAGTTACGTCCTATCAGCATAGTTAAGTAACAACCAGCTGCACTCACATAATTATTTTTAAAAATTTGCTATCATTTTTCGTTTGTCCCCAAAATTCAATTTAAACCACTTCCGATGTGTTAGCAATGTACATGTCCTTGCAATATCAGGAACGAAATAATGACAGCGTGTGTCTGCAGCATCATTTTATTCCAATTCTGCAATCTGAAATTCCAATTCTGCAATCTGAAACCGAAATAAAAAAAAAAAAAATTGTTTGGTATACATGTATGCTCTGTCGCCATTATTGCGACATCAAGAGATTAATTAGAAAATTCTTTGTTTCCTCATTTAATTAAAGTACAGACAGAACAGTTTTTGATTACCTTTACTGTGAAATCAACAGCTTCATTTATTAGAAAATTCCAGTTTCCTCATTTTCATTTTTTTAAAAATGTTTTCGGTTGCCGAACTATTAATTATGATAATTATTATCCGGAGCATTATTATTCCAATTTCCTCATTTTCAAATTTTAGAAATGTTTTCGATTGACGAACTATAAATTATGACAATTATTATCCAGAGTATTATTACTTCAGTTTCCTCATTTCATCAAATAAACCCGACTGGGCATCTTTGGGCTAGATATCTATCTAGTGGGATTTGCCATCACTGAGCTCTTCAACAGCGAGATCCAAGTAGGTCAAACGATGACCCGAGAGTAAGTCACACGATGATGTATAAGTAGGTCACACGACGACGTAAAACTAGGTCACACGAGGTCGTAAAACTAGGTCACACGATGTCGTAAAACTAGGTCACACTGACACAGTCCGACTCCATGGAGCTGTCAGCACTCTGCTGGCTGGCACTGGCCGACATCGACAGCTGCTGTCGCTGCTGTTGCTGCCGCTGCTGTTGTCGCTGTTGCTGTTGCTGCTGTTGCAGAGAGAGGTCCAGCTCATCCTGGCTCCAGTTGAGCGCGTCAGACATGGCGTCCAGACGCAGAGACAGGATCTCCTGGGACACCAGCTGGAGACGGGCAGGCCCACCCAACATACACGTTAGTCTGGTTTCTTTTTTTCTTTTTTTCTTTTACTTTTTGTACGAGTTTTAAGGCACTTGCGACACAATTAGGTCACATAAGTGCTGAGACATTAAAGTGTTTAGTTTTAGTAAGACTTTTACGGCACTTGCAAGACAAAAAGGTCATATAAGTGGTGAAGATTAGAGGTGTCACAAGAGATTAACAAGCATAAAAAAGAAGTAGGGGAGATAAAGACGATAGATGTCTGATAGGAACGAAGAAGCAAACCAAACCAGAGCACCCGCCAACCACCAACTGAGACACTTTTTTCTCCTTACGTCTCATGCTGCAGATAGCTTATAACGTCACCAGCAGCCACCTGTCCCTACAAGTCTCGTCATAAAGACATAGTTTTTGTTTTAGTAAGTGTTTTACGGCGCTCGCAACTGCATACGGTCATATGAGCGCCAGAAGATTAAAGGTGTTACAAGAGAGTAACAAACATAAAAAAGAAGAAGGGGAGATAAGGACGATAGTTTTCCATAGGAAAGAAGGAGCAAACTACACCAGAGCACCCGCCAACCACCCACAAAGGCATAGGGACCGTTGAAACTGTCCAAAACGACTGCCCTTTGTCCCTTGAACAATGCTGTTTTCTGAGCTGAGGACAGCTGACCAGTTTGCCAGCGATATGCTATTTTACAGGACAGGGTTGTTACAGAAGTGTAGTATACAGAGTTGAGGATTTTTAAAAAATGATATAAAATATGATATAGAAATGGTTTTACAAAAAATATATATATATTATATATATTATATAAGCCCACTATCAGTTCCGCAGAAATGAGAAGAAATAGTCGTTATTGGCGTAATAAAAGCTTATAATAAAGATTTAAAAAGTTAAAAGACAACTATAATTTGAAATAAATTAAAGCAATTGCCAAGCAGTGATGAAGAAAGAAATTAATAAATTGTAGCTTTGTAATTCACATATTTTGCTAAAAAAATTTTCAGTCTGGCGCCAGTACATGGGCGCTACATGCTCAAAAACATTCACACTAACACCCATTGAGGGATGAATCAAAGAACGAAAGGAATAAAAGAAGGGAGCTTTTCGTAGGCTGACCTGCTTCTTTGTGGCTACCACTTCCTTTTTCACCCGACACAGCTCAGCCTCTAGGCTATTGGCTCGATTAAAATGTTTTTCAGCCAATGACTGAAGGTCCGTCACCTGATTGGACGATCGGCTTTCCACTTGTTTTATTTCCTGGATTTGATTGGACGACAATACATGTACGTGAAGGAAAACGTGTAGAGGGCATAAATACAACATTTTTATAAACCACACACACAAACACACACACACATACACACACACACACACACACACACACACACACACGCACACACAAAACAAAAACAAAAAATAAAATATATGAGGCAGCGTGGAGGAATCAGGCTCTCGTCAAAATAATCAAAGTGAAGAAACTTGCTTTTTCTGCTGGTTTGTGAATTTTTATCAAATTTTTGTTTTTTGGCTCAACACCTTTCATGCCCATTAAAGCACTCATTTCTGTGTGGATTTTTCTGAAAAACGTTTCTTAAAGGCACAAGAAATGTAGATGTTCAGTTACCATGGACTCTGTAGCTAAGGAAATAACTAATCTTTGGCGGCCATTTTCTCACTAATTTTACCTCTGAAAACAGGTGACCCCCACTTCCTTCTTTCGCAAATATCTCGACTTGTCTTTAATATATATGGATATTTTTTTTCATCCGAATAAAGACAAGTGAACAAACTTTAAGATGATACCAATAACTCTACATGCCCAAAAATTGACGAGAGCCTGATTCCATAACGCTGCCTCAAAAATATATATATAACATTTTGTCAGTCAACTGTTCAGATTCACTAAGCCAAAAGGTGTTTTTTTCTTTCTTTTTTTTCGGCAGTTTCTTAATAAATCGGTAGAATCTGTTGCATGAGCTCAGGAAATATTTCGTCAACTTCAAATTCTATGGCATAGATAATGGCATAGACGTTGTATTGAAAATAATTAAAAGCAAGAAAAGATACATAAAAAACGTAGGCGTACAATAAAATGAATGAAACAGGGTTTTTTTCTCTCTATCCTAAAAACAAAATTATTATTTGCTTTCTGGGCGTAGAAAATTTGAACAGCTGGCCAGCCATTTATCTAACATTATGCAATGATCAAGTGGTGAAAACTGTGTCAACTTGATTTTTTTTTTTTATGTGGTAAAGAAAAAAAAATATGATAAAAAAGCAAACGTTAATCTTCCACCATTATGAAGGGAAAGCCGTGAACATACCAACGTTATTATTGAAAGCGGGTGTAGTGATGGAAGCCACATTTATCCCAGGCAAAGGAAAGGATCGTAATAACAACAACAATTTTTTCAGCAGAAACTACAGCAAAAACACAAGTCACTAAACAAATACTTTAAATAAAAAATTAACAGAAGGATAAAATTGCTAAGGGGAAAAAAATTCTCTAAAAACTAAAACCAAACAGATCAAATTTATCCCAGCCCGAGAACAAAAACAAAAACAAACAGAAGCATATTATTATAAAATATGAGAGATATATCACGTTTCAGAGTGTATATATAATATTATTATATCATACAATATATAATATATTATATAATACATTGTGTTTTAGCTTTGGATGAGTCTAAAGCCCTATAGGTCACCAACAAGTTAATTCAACAGAGAACCTAACACAGGTTTGTTTTGTTTTTTCGTGCTATACCTCGGTTAAATGACATGTTCCAAAAAAAACAAAAAAAACAACAACCGCCAAACAAACCAAAAGCCGTAGGAGGTCAAATAAGAAATAACGGCAGCAAACCTCAAGCGACACCTGAGAGGGAGATCGTGGCGTCTGGGTGACACACCATCGGAGGGGTGAGCTGGGCCACTCGTTTGTGGTGCAACAAATTACTTTAATGCAAAAGCATTTTTGACACTGCACTCTATCTCAGCACAGTTTTACCTTATTTCATCGCGATCACACCTTTGCTCCTCGATTTCATTGCATTGACATTTTTTTTTCTTTGAAGCTCACTTCAAAAGGTATCGCATATATATTTTTTTTTTAACGGAAAGTTGAAGTCTGCTCAAGTACACATTGGAGTATCACATTGTTACAGATGAGTTTAAAACTTGGCTATAAAATATGTCGTGCTTCGTCATATTGTCATCATAGCAGTTGTGTTAGTTAGATTTCCGTGTACATAAAACATCACGTGACCTGCTGGGGGCAATGATTGACCTGACTCCATGACCTGCTGGGGGCAATGATTGACCTGACCCCATGATCTGCTGGGGGCAATTATTGACCTGACCCCATGACCAGCCGGAGCATTGATTGACCTGACCCCATGACCAGCCGGAGCATTGATTGGCCTGACCCCATGACCTGTGTGACCTTTAGTTACCTGTTTGGTTTGCTCCAGATTGCCCTCCATGTCCCTGAGCGTGTTCTCCAGCTCTGCCCGCTCTTTGCTCATCTTCTCCTGCATCTAGTGACGTCATAGTCAGAGGATGACGTCAGTCACCACGTATACACAAAGCAAAATACATACACATACATACACACAAAACAAAATACACACACTAGCACACTCCAAACAAACTCTCAATCTTTCTGTCTGTCTGTCTCTCTCTTAAACACAAACACAAACGCACGCACACAAACTATCTCTCTCTCTCATACACATACACATATGCATCCCCGCCACCCTCTCTCTTTCTCTTTCTCTTGCTCGCTCGCCTTCTCTCTCTCTCTCTCTGGATGTGCGTGAGAGCGCGTGCACACACACACACACACACACACACACACACATACACACACACACACACACACATACACACACACACACACACACACACACATACATACATACATACATACAAGCACAATTTTTAAAAAATTTGTTGTAATATTTTGTGCAAGAACACCCAGAATAATAAATATACTTTTTACATCTTGCACCATCATTATAATATAAAGTGCACCGCACCCAAAATGTTATTGTACGTAAAACAAATGTGAGTCAGCGTGGTGGAATAAGGCTCTTGTCAAAATAATGAAATCGAAGAAAACAGCAGTTTTCTCCTTGCTTAGCAATTTTTAACAAATTTTTGTTTTTTTGGCTCAACACCTTTTATGTCCATTTACAAACACATTCCTTTGAGGATTTCAACAAAAACATTGATTAAAAGCACAAAAATATAAATTTACTGTTTCCACGGACTCCCCAGCTTTGGAATTTACCAGCCTTTGGGGGTCATTTTCTCGCTAATTTTACCTCTTAAATCAGGTGACCCCCACCTCCTTCAATCCAAAATATCTCCACTTTTATTGAAGATGGATTTGTCCTTTTTTCATTGAAAGTAAGACAAATGAACAAGCTTTAAGATGATACCAATAACTCAATATGCCCAAAAATTGACGAGAGCCTGATTCCACCACGCTGCCTCACATATAAAAGGAAGAGTAAAAGCAATTTCCAAGAGCATAATCTGAATATTCAATATGTGAGAAATGAGGCACTACAAGCAAATGGAATGACTAATTTCATACTAATACTTGACCCCAAATCAGGGTAACAACATGATATGAATGTGAATAAAGGTGTAGTCAACATACAAACACATGGATAGTATACCCAGACCTCAAACAAACAGACTGTACCCAACATACAAACAGACTGGTATACTCAACACACAAATGGACACATATACACAACTCACAAACAAACAAACATATACCCAATACACAAAAAGACAGACAGATATACACAACTCGTAAACAAACAGATATATACACAACACACAAACAAACAGATATATACACAACACACAAACAAACAGATATGCAAGGTGCATAAACACACAGAGACAGACTCTTACCCCTAAACGCAAGTACACACTCACACACAACTACACTTACACAAACATACACAAATAAGAACACACACAGAGACACACAGCCTCACAGACACTCACACACACACAGACACATACATTCACGTACATACACATACACAACCC